CAGGAATGTGGACCAAGCTATGTATGAGATAGACCAGTCTGAATGTAAGTGAGCACTAGTGATTGCTTTACTGTCCCCTTGCTGCAGTTTCTGGCTTAGAAGGCTGTAAATCTGAATATTTAATACTAGCTTTGTAATAAACTGGTATTTTCTGTGTTTAGTGAATATTGCCCTCTTATGTGGAGCCTCGGGTATGTGCTGATAGCTTGCTCTTCAGCTCTCCTCATAAGTTATAGTTACAGACAATGGCAGCCTTGGGGTGTCCACATTCAACATTTATCTCATTTAGTTGGTGTTTATTACAGCAGCTTCTAAACAGTGATATGTATCAGGGTAATTTAAGAAGTTTATAAAAGTGCATGCCTGGATGTCAACTCGATGTACCCAACTAGAATTTCCTTAAGTGTTTATTCTTATATTCCTCCACAGAGATTATAAAATATGCAAGAAGTTGAAAACATGGAGTTACTGCCATGGGCTGATGTAATTTGAAACACTCTCAAAATATTGCTTCTTTTACAATACATTTGACACACTTGTGGTTCTATCTCTGTCATGATATGCATGTTCCCGTGATGGTAAATATAGGTAAAGCCATTTACCTATAGAAATTTTCTTTTAAAGTGCATTAAATAATGCTAAATATGAGATTCATTATCAAAATGCTGACTATTTCAGGAAATTGCCTGGGTAATTTCTTAAGCAGGCTGTCTTAGGCAGGATGGCATCTTATCAAATTTGATGTAATCTCTTTGCTGACTGGAGAGACAGAAAATATCACTGTTTTACTCCAATTCACATAAACATTAAATCATATATCGTTTGTAGGACAAAAGTATTTGAATGCGGGCAATTCCATGTACTTTAACCCATTAAATGAATTCATTAATGAATAAACTCAAATCAAACAAGCTAAATTACTTCAGTACTTATTTTAAAGTGAAATTTAATAAGTAGGTAAATAGTAGTATAGCTTCCAGATTGTTGAGTGTAATTGGATAAAAAATAAAGTGTAAGTTAAAACTTCATGTATTATTATCTTTATTTAGTTTTTCAACCTTCCCAAGACATGAATTTGTTTCATTCTGTATGTTGAGTTTGTACATGTTTATTGAATGCGTGAATGTTACTATCTTGTATGAATGAATAACAATTAAAATCATGATTTTTTGTGTGTGTATTTAAAATCCTGTACCATGATGTGTACTATAAATGAGTTTATTGTACATACTGTTAGGGTTGGGTTAAGTGTAAGTGTAGAATAATTGAAGTATTATTGGAAGTAGAGTAAAAAGTGTTGGGTCGGAGGCCAGAACTGCAACTTGCTTTAATTTCCTTATATGTAAAATAATACTGACCGCCTAGAATTGCTGTGAGGCTCAAACAAGTTAAAGTATATGTAAGTACTTGTAAATCATGAAATACTGTAAGATGTCATGGTGTATATGAAATAAATACATGCTGAGGATTCACCATCTGTGCAGGAACAGACTAAAGTTGTTTCTAGGATTATTTGTTAATTTTTTAAATTGACAAACAGACCATGCATTGAGAAAGGTTTATTCCTTCCTAAAGAGTAGATAACTAGCAAGTATGAGTGATTCGTGTGAAGAAAGTCTATTAATAAACTCAATAGTAAGGTTAAAATAATTAGCCCAACAACGACATTTCAAAGAGAATTGTTGCTTTTTACTTTAAAGGGTGATTTAAAAATCTTCACTCTTTACATTTGCCCAAACTTCTTTGTATGAAGGAGTATAAAATTTATTTCATTCACATATTCTCATCTTAATGTTTTCTTGCTTTTGTTGTTTCTAAATGAGCTAATGAATCAGATGATATCAGGAGGTAAAACACACACTGATGTTACAGCTTCTATATCAAAGATATTACAAACATTACATCTCCACTGCACAAATACTATTTATTTGTGTTACACTTTGAGTATTTTAATGTCATTAAAAGTTATTTCATGAGTGTAATTAGTAAGATAGAAAGCGATAAACTATCATATTTTTACTTCATTTACTTGTTTTATTTTATTCATTAGCATTTCTTTAAGAGAGGAACAGGCATATGAATAGATCTTTTCCATATATGTGGACGTTGTGTACAAATAGAACAGTCCAGAGAACTATGAGAATGCTTTGAGAGAGTACCAAGGCAGTGGGGTGGATTTTGAGGCTCCTTAGGGAAAAGGGCATTTAAGCAGAGCCTTGAATAATGAATAAATTTACTCATGGAAGAGTGAAGGGTGTGGGTCTGTGAGTGTTGGAATGGTGGATGGGAGGGTAACAAAAAGTTGTGCAAGGAAGAGGAAAACAGCATGGACAAAGGTGAAAAGGTATGAAGCACCATAGGATGTGCCATTGGAATTATACTCAGTTTAATGTTCCTAGGAGAGAAAATGGTAAGAGGAGGAATGCAATAACCCTTTCCAATAATCCTATGGCCGTGATTCCTTCCAAGTAGAGGAACTTCTATTAGTGTAACACACTTATCATCCTACCATCCTTCTTGGGGTGTGTAGGGGTGATTTATTTAGGTTTGGAAGGAGAAACTAGAAATGTATATCCTTGCTCTTTTCTCTCTATTCTCGGTTGGGAGCCAGGTCGACTGCAGAGCATTATCTGTTCTCCGTTTTTCTCCATATCTTATTTACAGGGACAGATCTTGTCCTCAGGTCAAGGGTGGGATTTAGTGGTGGGGAAGTTGGATGCAGTTTTATGGGGGGTTAATTAAATTTATGATTATTAGAATGTGTATTAGGGCATCAATTTTGAGAAATAATTAAAGAGAAGAATTTTGGGGAGGGAAATACATACTGTAGAGGTTTTGAGTGGGGCCAAATCCTCTAGATTTAGGCCTTGAACTTTATTGTTTGAGGTCTTGGTTTTTGTGGAAACTTACATTAGTCTGCAAGACTTGTTTTTACAGTTGGGCAGTTGGCTTTTAATTCTTGCAGGCTTGGAAAGAGACTTTGATTTTTGTTCTAAGGGGTTTTGACTTTGATGGCAAATCAGACAGAAACTTAATGGAAGCTTTGTCCACAAGCAAATGACTCTTTGTATAGGAGCAATAGTACACATGCCAAGTCAGAATTTAACAAATGGAAGCTCCCAGCAATTATGAGAAGTAACTTATACTTCACAGAGAGTATGAGGCACCTTAAGCTTCAGGAAAGTTTTAGGGCCACTCAAGTCTCAGCAAAGACGGAAGTCTCAGAGACATTTAGCAGATTCCAGCCATGCTAACTCAGGAAAATGTAGCCCTCTGGGACAAAAATCTCCATTTTCCATGAGGATACCCAAAGGGGCCGTGGTTGTTTTTGTGAGGCGCAGCCTCAGGGAGGAGAGAACAAGTCTGCCTCAATAGGCCTATGACGTCCTATGGAGAGTAGCACTCCCTAAAGAGGCAAATTGGTTGAGTTTGAGTTAAGAGAATAAATCTGGAAAATCACTTTTCTTCCATTTAGTCTATTCCTGAGGAGTTGGAATGACTTTATGCAATCGTGAGTTTGGAAAGAGATGACAGATAAATGTGGATGCCCTCTCTCTCTCTTTTCTTGGGAGCAGTTATATTTTTCACTTCATAATGGAAATAGTCCTGCCTGGCCAGGGTTGCCAGAAAGTCTGACTAATTCCAGTCTTTACTATGAAGAATTCCTCTGTCTAAATAAAAGTCACATGCCCTAGTCTAATTGTTATTGGTAATAAGATTTTTTTTTGCCCACAAATGGTGATTCCTTTTTCTGAAATGTCATGCGGTTTAGAACTCAGGTTGAGAAGCAGCATACTATCTATGGTTCTTCTCTAAGACCTCCCCAAACCTGGATGAACCAGGTCATGGAGGTCTTGCCTATATCTTGTTTATTAAATGCCTCTTTTCTGATTTGAAAAACTTTTAATGGCAATTGATATCATACAAAGAAACTGTTTTCCAGAGATGCTTTATCTTATGTTCTCAAAAAATTTCCCCTTTTTTTCCAGAACCCTTGATACTATGCAACTGGCTGATAAATGGATAACTTTATTTTTCTCTTCAAAATCATCAGGGGTGCTGATTTCCCACTGAAGAAGTCATAAGCCTTGCCCAAGCATCACTTGGTAAGAAGTATTGCTTAGCTGAGCAATTCACACTGGGCACAATACCAAATCCATAAAAAGTACTCAATACATTGTAGTAGTTGTGGTAGCTGTATTTATTTTAATAACTAAATCCCCTTCTCCTAGATGGAGACTTTGTCACTTCAGCTAAATACTTGTCACTCTGACCTAATTCATCACCGCTGTACTATAGGTTGAGTACAATGAATTTATTAAATGTACCTTATTAAATGTGTGTTGAGACCCGACTTTAAGGATTAGGATGTATTACAGACTTATTAAAACAAAATTGATGTATCTAACTGTGGACCAGAATAAGAGCTAACTCATTTATCACTATCTCTAATTTTTATGAGTTTATAGACTTTTTAAAGAGTTAAAATCTTAAATTAAAAGCAAAAGTCTAAAATTAATCTAAATATACACTTGATTTTTATTATAGTTTTTGTTCTAGAATGTTCTTTAAAAAAGATAGTTCATTAAAAATTGCTTATAGAATAGGATAGTGATAAAATACGGATGTAAGATAACAGAACAATAATTCAATGGACTTTTTGTACTTACCACCCTGTTTATAAAATAGAACTTTACTATTACCTTTAAAATCCGAATGAGTCTCTATATTTTATGTATAATTTTTGCTTTTTATTAAAATCTTCTTATGTGATTATTCTTAAATTAACAAAACATCTATCCTTTACTGATTAGCATAGCCAACTCTGTCAAAGTTTGAGTGTTTCTTCATGTGTGAGATGGGTGCTCTGACTCTCTGATGTGTGCCATTGGTCAATTTGTCTTTATTTTCACAGTTTTAGTTATTATAGCTTTGGAAACTTTGCACAAATTCTTGATATTTTAATAGTTTTTAATTTATTTTTTGTTGTTTTTTTTTTTTTCTCTGCATCATGGTAGAATGCCTCAATTTTGCCTTTCATTTCACCGAATGTATTTTCTAAAGGTCAGTTCTGCTTTATTTAGCATCCAATACATGCTTTATTCAGCTATCAGCTATTGCAGTTTTAGTTTTCTTTATTTTTTAAGTTTCACTTTGTCTTCTTATCTTATAATTTCCTTGTAAGAACAAATGTACCTTCCATGGCGTGTAAACACAGATATCAACTAAGAAAAATAAAGAGTGATTTTAATACAAAAAAAAATGAAAACATCACACCTCCCAAATAAACAAACATATGGATGTATTCTATTTAGGATGCCCTGCCAAACATCTGCTAATATTATGTTCTGATTCAAGTCATAAATCTTTATTAGTGATGTGTATTCCTAATTAAGGAGTCATTTGAGTGATATATCACGTAGGCTGTAAAAAATCACCCCAAAACTTAGAGGCTTCAGACAATGACCTTTATTATTCTTGCTCTGGGACAGGTCAGAAAGTCAAGCTGGGCTTAGTAGAATGACTGTCTTGCTTGCCTGACCTCACTCATTAGATTGCAGTCCTTGCCAAGTCAGCTAGGGGCTGCCCAATCTAGCACAGTCTCACATGGGCAGCTCACCTCTGCTGCACGTGGCCTCTCATCACCCACAGGCTAGTTTGGGCTTCATCATGTGGCATCAGAGCAGGTTTCTAGGAGAAGGTGGAAGTGTGCAAAGACTCTTGAGTCTTAAGCTTGGAACTGGCACAGCATTGCTTCCACTGCATCCTGTGGGTCAAAGCAATTCAGGAGGCCAGCCACATTCAAGGGCAGAGAAAGGAGACTCTTTTTCTTCGTGGCAGGAAGGCAAATTCACATTACAGAGGGCATGGTTACAGAGAGGAGTTCAGGATTTTGGCCATTTTTTTTTTGTCTTCTATCACAGGCAGTGTTCTGTTTCTTGAGTACTGAGGTACATTTTGAACAGGTTTCGTGTTGCCGTTTATTTCTCTATGTTTAGTATCTAGGCAAAGCTGTTGGGCGTATTGTAAGAGTATTTAAATTGTCCTTCTCCGTCTCACAGCCTAACTCAACCTAAATTTCTTTACAATACTCTCCCCTTGAGAAGCCTGGTTTTCTTTTGTGGTGAGTTTTTTTCTTATGTTTTTACTAATATTTTGCTAAGAATCCTGCATTAAGGATTGCTAGCCTTTTTAAACTGATGAATTTAGCTTGATAGTAAGTTTGCTATTTCTTATTCCACATTAGAAGGTTATAGGTTATACTCTCTTGCTCTCACAGTGCCTATCACAATACAGTGTTTTGGCTACTGTTTACTGGAACTTAATTTCCTGACAAGTTACCTGACAAGTAAAACCAAGATTTCTTGAGTTCAATTTCTTACAAGATAATTCATTTTTGTCCCATGCTCTTTGCTACCTGCACTGAGGCCTGCTATTGTTTCTGCGCTGGCGATATTTTAATTGGTTCTTGTTTACCCTTCTGAACCTACATCAATCAGGCTGTCACCATAGACATCCACATTTACATAACTAATGGCAATTCTGCTTGGTGTCATTTCAGTTTGTGCTATGACTAGAGATCTCATTTATATACTGGTGACCTTCCAAATTTCACTTCTGTTAATTTGACTGTAGGTCCTTCAAGTTCAATACTGAAAGGTTCCTGCCTATTCAGAGACATGCTCTCAGTATGCTTGTCCATGCCACTTTCTGCAATCTGATTATTTTTTTGTTTGTTTTTATTCATTATCTTAGTTGTTCATTTACTATCTTATTGATTTAACACTTTTTGCTCTGATATTTGAGCATCCTTGTGGCCTCACTCCTTTTTGCCATGGAAAGTATGGAACCCCATGCTGTTTGTATCAGATTATTCTGCTCTGTTTCCCAAAAGAGAGCTAGTGCCCACACTGAGCCACTGAATTGTTTGCTTTGATGGAACCGATTAATCATTCAAGGTAAACTTCCATTCCTTTTGGTGAAATGAATAGATTTAGCCTATTTTTTAAAAAGCGAATAATTGAATTGCTGGTTATTTGGATTGATTGAATAATCTGTTTTTTGGTTTAGGACTGAAAAATCTCTGGTTTCCTGTTTTATCAATATTAATCAGAAAAGCCTGGATTGCAGTCATTCTGAGGAACTAGATGGGTTTTATTTACTGTTTCGAAGTTCATTGCTTTATCTAATTAGCACTGTGACACCCTCATGAAATGCGCCTGCCGTTTAAGCACAGGGTATTAAACTAGAACTCAAGCGTCAGGCTCCTGATTCTGTCACTAAATACCTGGATGTCAAGTCTCCAGTTCTTCATCTGTCAACCGTAAGTAACATCCACTCATAGAGCCATAAGGAATGTAACATAGGTGAAGCACCCAGAACTGTGTCTGGTAGAGAGAACTCAGTAAATTCTAGCTACCTTTCCTCTTTTCATCCTCTAAGTGGTGTAAAATATATCAAAACTCATGGGAAAAAATGTCCATTTTGACCTCACTAAGAACTATATCTCTCTAGGATACCTCTGAACCCCCTTGGCCTTCCTGGCTTTGCTCCAAGCTGTTAAGTTTCACTCTTCTGGCCCATTTTGAATTTGCTTTTGGTGGCAGAAACACTGCATAACCCCCTGCAGTTTGGAAAATATGAGCAGTAGAGTTTGTTGTATCAAGGGCATTGAAAGGTGAAAACAACTGTCAGTCCTATAGGTGGCGGGCTCAGGGCTTTGCTATGGGGACTGCATGCAGCCTTTCTGCCTCATATCTGTGAAAGGAGTGTTTTCACTCCTGTTAATAAAATTGATAAACTCAAGATCACTCAGACAAGGCTGCTCCCAGCATCCTTAAGTGCAAGAAAATTATGATTTCTTGGGGAAGGTACCAGGAAAAGTAATAAAGGAATAGACAGAAGGTAAAAATCTCCAGTTTTGATGGAATTATTATAGCCTGAATTTGCTGGCAAGCATGCCTCATTAGGAGGAGCATGGGGTGGTAGAAATAACACAAAACCAAACATTTATAGAAAAATAGACTGTGCAAGTAACCACTTGGTGCACTGGAACAGGCTGCTTTCCTTCTTCGAGACTGAGTTTCTGTATCTGTAAAATCAGGGTGCTGATTTATGATCTTTAAATTCTTACTGCTCTGACATTCTTTGTTTCCATTCCAAAGCATAAGAATGCATTTGTGTTACCCAGGAGGTATCTCAGGAAAGGCTTGAGAACAATTGTGGAACCCATTCAGCATCACTGTTGGCAGAAATTGCGATGAGTATGATTTAGCACGCTTCCCAGAGCTGCTGCAGAAAATGTTGAGCCAAATTCCTGGGGCCACTGAACCACTGCCTGGCAGTCAGCTAGGCCTTCTTCCAGAACTACTAAGTTGTACCTTTGTGACCTGGCTGTGTTAATCATGAGTTGGGCACTTTGGGAGGTATATCAGCTCTTTGATATATCTGGATCAAGACCAGGTTTCTTTGGGGGAAATAAATAAACATGGGAAAGAAATATCTTTTTCCTTCCATAACAAGTATATGAATCCTCTCTGTCACATCAGTATGAAAGATATCAAGATCAAATTTTTTTCCCAGCAACATAAACATATGTATACACGGCAATAATTTTAAATGCACAATTAGACAATGTGCGAAGTATTAGGCCAGCTTCATGTCAGCATGCTGAAGGAATTGGATACTAAGTCCACTCTGTGGGATATAAACCAAAATAACTTGACACTTGTCCTGTGCATGTCCTCTAAAAATAATTTTTTTATGAGCTTGAGAGTGACCTAGAATTGTTCTCTAGATTCGAAAAGACAGGATTTCTTATAGGGAGATAGAACATTTGATAATGCTTATATTACCTTTGAAAACATTGGGCAGCCACTTAAATACCTCAGGGAAAATCTAATTGTTTCAAACAAGAAGTTTACAGTACAAATATACGGAAGAAAATTATCTTTATCTAAGTTGTTTTATGGCTACCACCTCCCAAAACACACACACACACACACACACACACACTCTCACACAAAATCTCACACATGTGAACATACATACATATGATGTACATATACACACATAAGTTTACATGAATGCTTACTTTGCAAAATAGTAGA